GGAGAGAGGAGGAGGAGTAGGAGAGAGGAGGAGGGGAGGGGCGGGGGCGGGGGCGGGGGCGGGGGGGTTAGAGGTCAGGGTCGGGCATTTCAGTATGTCGGGATGGGGCGGAAGGGCAGGGTTTGTAGGAATTGATCCGGGAGCAGGGTGAGGGAGAGGGAAGATAGCGGAGGAAGAGCGGAGGAGGAGACGGTAGGATCAGGGAGTCAGGGAGCCAGTGAGGTGAAAGCAGGCACCAGGGAGGAGAGGGAGGGAGGACAGAGGGGGGAGGGAAGGGAGGAGGGAGGGAAGGGAGGAGGGAGGGAAGGGAGGAGGGAGGGAAGGGAGGAGGGAGGAGGATAGGAGGTATCAAGAGCATGGGAGTAGAGTACGCCGAAGGAACAGCCGAGCATGTGCTCGCACGGTACATGCAAGAGGGAAAGGATGTCCTGGCGCAGGAAGAGTGCATGGCAGCGGTGGCGGCGGCCTGCATCGAAGCCATGGAGGGGACGGAGAGCTGGCAGGAGCCAAACTTGTCGTTGGCCATGAGGATGATGATGAAGTTCTCGGCTCTAGATCATCCCGATGCTTTCTTCCTGCAGCACGACATGGTAAAATCATGCTCCTGCTCCTGCCCCTGCCCCTGCCCCTGCCCCTGCCCCTGCCCCTGCCCCTGCTCCTGCCCCTGCCCCTGCCCCTGCCCCTGCCCCTGCCCCTGCCCCTGCCCCTGCTCCTGCTCCTGCTCCTGCTCCTGCCCCTGCCCCTGCCCCTGCCCCTGCCCCTACTTGTCTCTGAGCATGTCTTGCAGCTCGAGCGTGTCTTCTCCTTCCTCGATCGATCGCATCGCCATGGAGCCTACTCGGTGGCCGACCAGCTGCTGTCCTGCATGCAGAACCTGGCGATATGTCCTCCGATCAGGCAGAGGATGGCAGGAAGAGTAGGAGGAACTCTGATTCCCATCTTGCGGGAAGGGAGAGGAGGAGGAGGAGGAGGAGGAGGGGCAAGAGCATGCACCCTCTGTCTGAGGACGATGAGCAACATGGCGGTAGACAGCAGCGCGCGGCGAGTGATCGGGGAGGAGGAGGAGTTGGTAACCCCCAGAGAGCGAGAGAGAGGAGGAGACGGTGAGCGGGCGCAGGTGGAGGAGCTCATTTTTCAAGGGAAGGAGAGCGGGGAGGAGGAGGTGGTCAAGCTTGCTGTAAGCGTGCTCGAAGTTCTGAGCATGGAGAGGTTTTTCATCTTCTACCCTCCCTCCCTCCCCCTCTCCCCGCCCCATCCCCCTCCATCCTCACCTTCCCTGCCTCTCCTCCCCCCTCCGTGATCTCCATCCTCCTCTCCCTCCTCTCCCTCCTCTCCCGCCTCTCCCTCCTTTCCTTCGTGTCCTCACCAGCAGACAGGGACGTCCAAGAGCGGATGGCGAGCAGAGGGTGGGAGGAGGAGCTGGTGGCTATAGGTAGGAGCGTCAGGAAGAGGAGGGTACTACTTTCGCCTGGGCCGGACCCCTCCTCCTTCCTCACGCTGTCGTATCAGGAGGGACAACAACTCTCGGAGGAGGGAGGGCAAGACATATCCAACTGTGTCCTCACCATCATGGGCAGATTGTACGAAAATCTCCTCCCTCTGCTCTCCCGCCACCCGTTCTCCCTCCCTTCCTTTCGTCCTTGTCCTCTCTGTCACCTTCCTTATCCTCCTGCTCATCCTCTCCCTCGCTCTCTCCCTACAATCTTTATCATCCTTTTCTCCCTCCTGCCCCTCCCCTCATCATCGCTGCCCTACAATCTTCGCACTCTCCACCTCTGCTTCCTTCTCCTCAGGTGATTTGACAACTCAGGGCAACTCTTCCGAGTGCAGACATGACCAACAAGAAATCTCTCCTCCTCTTTGCGGTCTGCAGACTCCCTCCTCTTCCTCCTCTTTCCTCTCCTCGTACCCTATCCTCCCTCTCCTCCCTCCCACTCCTGCTCTCTCTCTCTTCCTCCTTCCTTCCCGCCCTGCTCCCTCCGGCTTCTCCTGGCTTCTACTTCTTCTCGTTCCTCTCTTTTCATCGTCGTCTTCCTCTTCTCATACCTCCTCCTCCTCGTTGACTCTCATCGCAGGTAGGAGAGCTTCCAGCTCAGTCCCCTCCCTCGTCCTCCCTCCTCGATTTGTGAGTCGCTCCTCCTCCCGTGCTTCTCTGAGTCTTTCTGGGCTCTGCTTGTTCCTCCCGTCTCCCTCCTTCCCTCCCCCCACTGTCTCCTCCTCTCTTTCTCTTCACTTTCACCTCTCCTCCTCCTCCTCCTCCTCCTCCTGTGCATCTCTTCTCCCAACCTCCTCCTTCTCCTCCCCTCGAATTTCTTCACTCCCATGTCTCATCCTCTTTTCCTCCTCCTCTCTCCTCACCACCTTATCGTTTCCTTCTCCCCCCAGCCCTCCTCCCCCTCCCCTCCCCTCCCCTCCTCTTCCTCTCCTCCTCCTCCTCCCCTTCTCCCTCCCCCTCCCCTCCTTCCCCCTCCTCCTCTCATCTTCTTCTCCTTATCCTTCTCATCATCATCTTCTGACGAGCAATCTAGGTTCGTCCGCCTGTCCATCCATGCTGAGCTGGAGGAAGTCTTTCTGCAGGAGGCGATCGTTCCTCTCGCTTCCCTTCTCCCTCTCCTCTCAGACCAGCTCCTCCTCCACAAGCTACTGACGACCCTCCTCAACGTCTCAGCCTCGTCGGAGGAAGCGAGGAGGAGGATGCTCAGACTCGAACTCCCGAACACTCTCCTGCAGGTCTCTCTGCGGGAGGGGAGCGAGGAGGAGCGAGTCTCCCTTCTCCTCCTCAAGAACCTCACGCTCGTCGAGATGGAGGAGGAAGAAATTTCTTCTTGCTACAAGGTCCGGAGGAGGAGGAGATGGTGGTGGTGCGGGAGGAGCAGGAGGTGGATGGGCAGGAGCAGGAGGAGAGGGAAGGAGGAAGAAGGAATTAGTAGAAGGGAGGAGGAGGAGATGGTGATAGAAGTAGACACGCGGGTTGAGAGCGATCAAGAAAGTTTCGATCAAGAAAGTTTCTTGACTGCAGGCAGCAGAGGAGGAGGAGGAGACTGACGCAGCTGAGCAGGAGTGGGTGGAAAGGCTGCTGACGATGATGTCGAGGAGGTCGAAAGAGAGGATCGTACTTTGCCTCAAGGTTCTTGGGAGTTTGACAACGACGCGGGGAGGAAGGAGGCTGGTCCTGCAGTCAGAACTCGTCAGCTGGTTGACTGCGCGAGAGGACAGGAGGACTGTAGGGAAGGAGAGGAATGGAGAGAAGGAAGAGGGGAGGAAGGAGGAAGAGGAGGAAGAGGAGGAAGAGGAGGAGGAGCAGAAAATCCTCGTGGAGTCGTTGCGGTGCGTGTTCTCCCTCGTGGCAGGAGGAGCGGAAGAGAAGGGGGAGGAGGAGGCTCTTTTTGCTGTTGTTGCTCGCATCTTGTGCGAGAGGATTATGGAGGAGGAGGGCGTTCGACTTTGTCTGATGACCATCTGGAGGATCGTAGGAGAAGTGAAGGAGGAGGAGGAGCAGAAGCTACTTGCTCCTCCGCTCCGAGACCGTCTCGTGCTCGCCCTCCGGCAAATCTCCTCCTCCTCCTCCTCCTCCTCCTCCCTTGAGTACGCGGGGAAGCTGCTAAGTCGCCTCGAGCGACGGGCAGGTGCAGACGCTGTGGCGTCGAGGATTGAGGAGAACGAAGACAGAGAGGAGAAGCAAGAGGAGGGT